TAAAACCATTTTCCAGTTTGCCAGTTTAAATTAAATAATAGATACTCCCTAACCTTTCCCACCCTTCCCTTTTATTTTATTTATTATTTTTTTTTAAACAATAAAAACCTTGTAGTGTTTCTTAACTTTGGATTCATTTGTAGCTCTTAGCCATTGCCTTGCATTGGCTTAGTGCTGTGCCCTATCATTCCACAGCTTAGGAAGGATTGTGCCTTCTGGAGCTTCTAGGCATACCAGCTGACAGAAAGGTCCTCATTTAGTAGGGGGAACAGATTTAGTAGAGAACTAACTCCTGGCTCTTGATAACAAAGGGGGTGATACGAAGCCCACTTAAATCAAAAAGAGTCTTGCCGTTCGGCCCAAAGCATGTGGACTAAGGAACGTAAGGAGAGAGTTTCTTCAGAATGCTTTCAACATTAGCAGAGGCACTGATGCAATCAACAGCACCGTCTATGTTAGCATTAATTGCCTCATGGTTTGTAACTTGTTGCTGTTATAATTTTATGACATTTTGTACAGACGTATTTTTCTACTGTATACAATGTAAATTACTTGAACATACAGAAATACTTGATTCCTTGTGAGCTCTGTCATACTCCATGTTTATTTCTCTACATGCTATGTCCTGAATATTTACATTTATTTCTTTCTTTCCATGCAGACATTGTCACCAAGAGTTTAGTATTACATTAAGGAATGGGGAAAGATTATAATCGCTTCCTCTAGAAAAGCTGCAAAAAGGGGAAAAATGAAATTGCAAGTAGCACTTTCAAAATAAGTAGTGTCTAAATGCTAAGCATTAATTCCCAAGTTACTGTTTTAGTTAAAATTCCTGGGGTATAATTATGGCTCTATAGTTAAATCTAATGATGATGCACTTCTCATTTTTATAGAATCTCATACTCAATAAACTTAATGTATTGATATTACTGAGGATTGAAAAATATATTGTTTTTGGTTTGTCTTTAGAATAAAAGGTAGTACTTAAAATAGATCCCATTACAGTTGTTCAGTTTTATAGGTGTCAAGTATCAGAGGGGTAGCCGTGTTAGTCTGAATCTGTAAAAAGCAACAGAGGGTCCTGTGGCACCTTTGAGACTAACAGAAGTATAGGGAGCATAAGCTTTCGTGGGTAAGAACCTCACTTCTTCAGATGCAAGTCAAGTTTTATAGGTGTATTTCATGGTTGATGGTTTTAACTGGGCACTTTCATACTTTCCTTAAAGATTATGACTCAGATGCTATGAGCAGCTCTTACGAATCTTATGATGAAGAGGAGGAAGATGGAAAAGGAAAAAAAATGAGACATCAATGGCCTTCTGAGGAGGCTTCTATGGACCTCGTAAAAGATGCCAAAATCTGTGCCTTCCTCTTGAGAAAGAAGCGATTTGGACAATGGACCAAACTACTGTGTGTTATCAAAGAAAACAAACTACTGGTAATTATTATTTTATTTCCTTTGGCTAGATTTTGTTTGTCATTTAAAGATGTGATTATTTTTAAAGGAAAATGGCTTATTGTAAATATATTGTAAATAGCAATCAAGTTTAGTATTGCTGTCAGAGAGTGTCGTCATGAATAAGAACCCAAGACCAGGGGCCCCATATCGATCGATTGATTGCTTTTTTTAAAGCCACTTAGAACGTGGAACCTTCAGAGTGAAACCTACACCCTAGAAAATTCTCTGATGCAGAGAACATAGCCTGAAGCCTATTTCTGTCTAATATATTTCATCCCTGAAACCTTGTAAACCCAACCCTTATGGAAGCAAAAATCCCACTAGATTCTGTGAGAGTTTTCCCTATATAAGAGCTGTTGGATCAGACCCTTAGAGAGAAACAAGTCCCTTGGCAGCATATGTTATTGTAATGTATATACTTAAAACTAAACCTTCGCCATCTGTTCTGCTGTAATTACAGATGCAATATTCACATAACTCACAGCTGCATCATAGAAAGGAAAGATGGAAGTGATTTAAATGTCTTTGTGTGTTCATTCTCTAGAACTCTATTATGTTTCTTTCATATAGTGATCACCAGTTGCAGGTCCATGACTTAGTAAACTTCCTGCTGCAAGACTTGTTTCTGTTTAGTGAAAAAAGGTTTATCTTATGAGTAGGGCCGACCCTAGGGGGATGCGTGGCCCGGGACATAGGCGCCGAGTTTCTATCTGCCAGGAGTGCTCCCCCTGGCTCTGGTAGGCCCTGCCCCCACTCCACCACTTCCCCCAGTGCCCACCTCTTCCCGCCCCGCCTCTTCCCCACCCAGTTCCACCCCCTCCCCTGAGTGTGCTGCATCCTCGCTCCTCCCTCCACAGCGCCTATAGATGAAACAGATGATCGGTGGTAGGCACTGGGAGAGAGGGGGAGGCGCTGATCGGCAGGGCCCGCCAGTGGGCGGGAGGCACTCCTCGCCCTCCCCCACCTCACCTTCCCGCCCACCTCCTCACCAAGCACAGGGCCCAAGGCAGTTGCCCCAATTCACCATACCCTAGGGACGGCTCTGCTTATGAGAGGGTTTCATTTCTACACCCTAAATCACGTGTGGTCTGTTTACTCTCTTCCTGTGTGGTGCCAACAAAGTTGCAATTAGCAGATGAGCTTATGATGGTTGTATCCCAACTTAAAAATTTGGTAGCAGCTGGAAAGGGATATTCCACAAAGGGGGGACCCTCAATTTAGCAACTCATTTTCCCTGGTTGGTCCTCATGGCCCAGATTTGTCAATGTTCGGAGTATGCTGCAAATTTCATCTTCTACTTTGGCTGAAGGGGGAATGGACAGATTTTGGGACATAGATGGTAAGAGAAGAGGTTGCTGTAAATATGGTGGGAAATTGTTATTAAATGGACAGTTCAATTTATGTTTTAAGGATATTATTTTTGCATTGTATATATTTTAATTGTCAAAAAAAGTTTGACTCTGATTTCATTCACCCTTATATTGGTGTAAATCCATTGGATTCACTGTTGTTAGTCCAGATTTATGCCAACATACACAAGATTGGAATCAGACTTTTGGAATGAAGGATAGAAGCTTAAAATCAAAATAGAGAGAGAGAGAAAGAGAAATTAAAAAGGCACATTATATTTCTTCTACAATTAAGTTTATTTATTTATTTAAAATCCTGGTGGTACTCTTTTTCGTTTAACCACATGTTCCTTTAACCACTTGTGTGGTCTAAGAATTGTTATTTTTTCCCCCCAGGGTTTTTTCTTCCAGTAATACTGTAATGAGGATTAAGAAAATAAAAATCATAACAGGAGTTGAATGAGCAATTTAAACAAGATTAGTTTACTATTGGAAGAAAGACCTAGAAGACTTAACCTATGAGTTATGCAGAAAGTAATACAAATATATATGTGTTTAGGGATTAGTTATTCCCTATATTATAAATGCAGCATTCAAATGAGACCAAAATGTGATATTTTAGATCAGAACCAGACATTCAATATAAATAATTTGGCCAGTAATTGCTTTCTATACAGCCTCATCTGGCGCTATTTGTTATGTAAATGTGTGTTTTTAGTAAACTTCTTATATATACTCTGAAAAATAAAATCTAGAAATATATATTAAGATGTGCCACAGAAATGCTTCTTAAACTGCTAAAAGGTGATGGTGGCTTTTCATGCTCATATAACTTAAGCATGATTTTTTTTATAAAACATATTTCCTCAAAAAATTATTTATCACTCAGCTGAGACTAGACCAAAGACATTTTAGTCTGAAAGGAAAACAATTAGAAAATTGTGAGCAGTTACAAAGATTGGTTTTAAATGATTCCCTTCTCAGCCTTGATTGTAGTGTTTGTAATATCCTGTTAACAATTGCTATATGTTCCTGAATCTTAGCACATGAAGTGGGTAAGGCAAGACTTTAAAATAAGGGGTCTCAGATCCATGTATAAAAATGCATGTGCATTTGTTAGTCTACCTTTGTGTTCAGTTATCCTTACTACATATGCAGATCGGTCTTTTTTAATATCCAAATAGCTATTGTACATGCGCATGAAAATGTAGATGGGGTAAAAAGGCCAATTTGCACATGTAGTTAAGGTAACTGGACATGGAAATACAGGCACACAACGCTATGATCGTGACTTGTTTTTATTTTAAATCTGTTAATTCTGTGTATGACATCTAAATAAAACTGATCTGCACTGAAAGATTGAAAGAACTGAAGGATGGAAGCTCAGAATGGGCATTAGATGAGCCATCAGATGAGTCACGCTGTGTGAAGCCTTTCACCTTTAGGTCACAGCTTCAAATCTGGGCCAGGTTCATCGATGACCCAGCATCTAAAGGGGGTTCACTAACGTTTGTCACAGTTGAGGGGGAGAAAAATTCATATCAGTCTTAGCAGAGAGGGCAAAGAGTAAACCAACATGGAGACTGAACTACCCCCCGACTCTCTTATCCAGTTCAGGTTTGAGGCTTATTGGTAGGTAAAAGAAGCCTGCGATGGTATTCCCCATGCTCTACCTATTCTATGATTAAACAGCCTCCAGTAATGTCTGTCTGGCAGCCATTTCACTATAGGAAAGGGGGTGATAGAAATGGATGCCAAGTTAGCATTGATTAACTTCGGTGTGTGGTAAGGTGAGATGAGTGAGAAAAGCTAAAGCAGTGAAGTACTGCCATACAATAAGGGCTTTCACCAAAAGTGCATGAAATTAAGTTTTAACCTAATAACATACTTCATTTTTATTTAGTGTTATAAAAGTTCCAAGGATCAGCAACCTCAGATGGAACTGCTGTTGAATGACTGCAGTATCACATACATTCCCAAAGACAGTAAAAAGAAGAAGCATGAGCTGAAAATCACTCACCAAGGAACAGATGCTCTGGTTCTAGCAGTACAGAGCAAAGAGCAAGCGGAACAGTGGTTGAAGGTACTGGATGGTTTCTGACCAGTCACATATCTAAAAACATTTCTGGTAATAAAACATTGCGTTCGTTACTCAGTATCAATTGCTATTAAAAGGTGAGATATGAAAATGTGACTGTTTTTTAAATTAATGTTTTAGGTAGTTGGGTGTATTTTTCTTATTCAGAGGAATGGCCCCATATATCCAGCCCTTGAGCTCTTTCGCCTGCCACTGACAACATCCTTTCACTTTTTGCCTTGTATGATGACACTTCTTCCTGAATAGGAATGGCTGTGTTTACTGAATTCCTCTGGTCACGTGAAATATCAGGCAGCCCCTTTCAAGTGTACAATTTTATGAGAAACCAGATTTTGAATCCGTGGAGAGCAAGTCATAAGACCTGCTTTGTGCCACTAAAGTCTCTGAAACAAATCAGTATTTATTAAAATGCCACATGATGCTAAATATTGAGACGGGAGAAGGACGTTTTCCCCGGTAACTTCAAAATACTGAAATTAGTTTTGGTATTGATTAAAAAAAATACAAGCAAAAGACAGTAGGTTTTAGGTTTGGGTTTTTTTGGGGGTTTTTTAGAATTAATTAACAAGTAACTAGTGATTTGCTTTCAAACAGCCACCCCCTTCTCCCTGTTTAAAAAACTAACAAATCTGTTATGAAAATGTTTGCTTCTCTTCAAATGTAGAATTTCTCTCCAAAATGATAGTATAATATTTACTCCTGAAACAGCAACAACACTGTTATCTTGTGATGAATCAAAGCCAGAAATGGTTGTTTTATGCCAATAAAAAGCCAATCCTCACCTTCTTTCAAATGAATACCATGCTTTGCATCATCATATATGCTCCCTCTTAAGCCTGTGCAGTGGGAACTCTTGCTTCAAAGGCAGTTGGCTCCACAGGGCCTAGCATTACCATTGGTGTTTCAAAAATAATAAATTGTAACCAAGGCAGAAAAGAGAGGGAAACAATACCAGTAAAGCGTGTGTTAGCTTTCTAGAACACACACAAAAAATGGGGGGAATGGTTTCTGTAAATTGTGTGTAATGCAAAATAGATGATGATCTAGATTGGTTAAAGGTTTTATTGGTATTCCTTTGGCGTGACCTGCATAACTTACAAGAATTCATGGTTTTGCCATTCATGAGTGAAGCAGCTACTCCAAATTCATACCAGTAAATTTCTGTGTCCACCCAGCCATATTTACGTTCTTGGGCCCTTGATCCTGAGAGAGCTTATGTGCCTGAGTAACTATGTGTGTGAGTTATTGCACAGAGTTCATATGCAGAATCATATGGGTGCCATGTATGTTGTGGATGGGAATTGCAGAGATTAGTACACATTGTTCACTTATCTTCTTAACATCCTGGTTTATGGACGAAATTCTTTGTGCCCATAGGTGAAAATGTTTTCTACCAAACCTAGGAAAAAGTGGCGGAGGAATTAGAGAGCACGATGTAGCAAAAGAATGAGGAAGGTACATAAGGGGAGGAGGGAAATGGAAGGGGAGCAGATGACTCTTCAGGAAAAAGATTAATCCTGAGCTATGATAGGAAAGAGAAAAAGAGGGATGAAAGCAGAAGGGAAA